TAAATATGATCCAAGTACCAAGTGGCACAACGAGAGAAACAGGCTCCCCTGTTCTATCTATAAGCCAGACACCGACAAGCGATCACAACAGCTGGGCTCGAACATGTTAACTTCAAGAGCGAAATAATGCATAAGGTCTGCAGGGGATATGAGATAGACAGACAAACAGGCAAACAGATGCGGATGTTTGTATGCGCGCGCTCATGGGTGCGCGTGTGCGTACGTGCACCCGAACGCGCATTTATGCAGATGAAAACTGACCGGATCCTTGATGCGAACGCAGATTCCAGGAGCGCGGACCATACACATTGGTNTTGGTTTGGCTCATGGCTCTTTTATGTAACGGATAGCTGGAGCCATCTGAGGTAAACACGTTTTGTTTTCATTGATCAGAGAGACGCATAGAAGTTGTTGTTGTTGTTGTTGTTGTTGTTGTTGTTGTTGAGGTCATCGGGATGGGGTGAACAATGGGAAGAATGGGGATTGCGGTTGGTATACCGGGGCATGAACGATGATAAGTGACGGGTGCAAGGAATGTGTGGGAGGCCGGAGCAACGGATGGGGAGAGAGATGTGTGAAATCAAGTGAGACTGATTCAGAACGACGACTGGATGTCATCACGAACGAAAACANGAAAACAGTGCAAAACTGAACAGTACATAAAAACCGGAGAGAAAAATATGAATCCGTATGTTTAAAATGATATGAATTTCATTATTAGTGCAGTCAGAGCTAGTAAGTGTATTCAAAATAAAAAAACGTTATACTAACCAATAAAATGTTATGGTATATGGAACATATGAATAAAATAAAATAATCACCGTGATGAACCAGCTTGATCCTGAGCAAAGTTGTGAACGCGTTAAACTGCATGTGTGAGCTTTAGGCAAACCAACCGCTTTGGTCGATCGATTTGGTTGTATGGGTTAGTTAGTCGACCACGATCAGTAATATACCACCTTCAATCACGGTTTGGATGTACGCCCTATGTTATTACTGCTTCAACTGGGATCAACTTATTGCATGTCATCAGCTTGAATCACCAGCTCACCAACGTCAGGAGTGATCAGAGTAGCAGCAGCAGCAGCAGCTATGGCAACGGCGGCAACGAGATAGCAATACGCGAGAATCAGATAGGTTCGATATAACCTTCTGAGTCACTTTAAACTATCAAGCAAAGGCGATAGTTTACCTGACAGGCCAGTACCGGATGGATATCGTGGTGCACTGGGTGGTCGGGGACTCATGGAACGCGGACTCGAACCGATCGAATTACGGTCACCGGGTAATCGTGATTCAGAACGTGGTAAATACGATACGGATACAGTTGGATGCGCATCCACACGCATCAATTGTACGTTCTCGACGCCAGATTGAGCTGGAGTTGTCGGAGAATGTGAGGATCGTGTATGAGGAGTCGGTGTGTTCTCTTGTTCCGAATTCAATCCGGAGCGTCGGTCTATAGTTTTTGTAATTGTAGAAGTTCGCTGAGGACGATCTGGGCTCGGACCCATTGTGGTTAACAAATCGGATCCAGTGTGTAAATGTAGTGGCTGTGTGACTCGAGAGCGCAGCATTGGATAAGCTGGCTTAGTGGTAATCGTGCTGTTTCTTTCACCGTTCCGGACTCCTGATTCATTAGCATCGGAAGCCATACGAGAATTTGATGCAGTCGTAGGTTGACTATGACCGTCATCATTATCTTTGGTTGAAAGGCCGTTGGTACCGGTCGTATTCACCATACTCCGATGACCATTCTCTATCCCCGACCTGCCAGGTCTGTTTGAAATAGTACTGTTGCTGAAGCCGCCGATGGAACTGTCAGTCTCTTTGTTATCATATCCTCGATTTCGCTTCGCGGATTCCTCAAGACCTACTTTCCCATTGCTTGCCGAGGTATTTTTCGATGTCGCACTAGAGATAGGTTCCTCTCGGGCAAACAATATCTGACTACTGCGCAGTTCAGCATATTGTGGAAATAATGGCTCCATTCGGGTGAACAGCTCGCTTCGTGGTGTACTTCGACGTGACACTGGATCGGACACAGAACTGTCCCGGGATCGAGGTTGACGAATATGATGCGTGTCTGCGTAATCCACATTTCCGCTGGTACGAAGCATTGCGTCCTGTTCGATACCGTCGTCTGGAGTAGTGATACATACATGTGTTTGCATATTTTTATATCTATCACGTGACAGTCTTAAAACAAGTACACGAACAAAAAGGGTAACAGTTAATGAACTATATACGGTTGCTTTGATAAGGAAAGTCCCAATAGGCCATTAAGGACAATAAGTATCCATAAAGAAATAAAATGCTGATAGGACGCGTTTAACTCTCTGCGGGAATTGTTTCTTATGATAATGGATAATTTTTCACGTGGATTTTGGCCGAATAATAAAAATATAATCAATTATCTTAGATGAGGAACTCATGGACAAAAATTTATCATCATTCAACAAAACTGGAACACGTGAGCATGAGTACCATATGGGGCGTTCTTCGGAGGACGGATCGACAAAGGACGATCGGAATAGGACTATAAATAAACGTTCATGACCATTTAAGACAGCTAATATGGAACAGATCACTACATTGTGGCTTTACTCCGTCCCTGTCTCTCTGGTGCAGACGTCAGTGCACATGCATCACAGTGATCAAGTATCGCTATCACGGTAAATCTGAAAGCGGATAAACACTGAGGTCTGTCGTTTTACTTCAAAACACAGAGCCAGAGAAAAAGGGGTTTATCACTAAAGCGGAGCAATAAGCCTGGTGTATAATGAAATATTTACTATTGATTGGAAGAGTCCAAGAAAAGTGAAACTAATTGTTACGCTACACTTTTCTACAGTTGAACAAATTACAAACGGGAAAACGCAGAGGGAGGAAAACTGTTTTCCTTTCGTAACAAATTAGGCTATCCCTCGCGCTTTGGATAGGTTAATTCTTGCTGGACCGGTTTTTGCCCTGTGATGTATGAGGACCAAATACATGTTTAAAAAATTCCATAACTCTATTATTTTGAACAATATAACACCTTGCAACAATATCGGATATACTGACACTGTGGGAAATAAAGAACGGTGCCACTTTGGTGTATCATGTCCAAAAGTTTAGATTAATATCTACGTGGATGCCTGCACATAAGTTGAAATCAATTTTATAGTGCAACAAAACAGTTGAAGAAAGGGAAACATTTTAAAAATAAGTCTGAGTGAAAGACGAAAAAAGCGACTTTGGGCCGGAACGGTCCATTTCCGGTAAAAGCTTCTCCTCCTTTTTGGTTTGCCTTCCGCTCATCGGATTAACTCAACCCTAGTATATTTGAGCAAATACTTTAAACATATCAAAAGTTAAAATTTTGAGGACGATAAAATGGCAGGTTTCGTGTTCAGACAACATTGGATGTACTAGTTGGACTATCAATTCCACTCAAGATGCGGATTTTCTTGATGCTACATGTTAATTGCCCCGGATCACTGTGAGGACTGAACACGTCTCTTGTGTATCGCCACAAATCGGCGTTCATTTTCAACATCAAACAGACAATCACACATTGTTTGTACGATCGATTTAACCAGAGAGCCTGGGCTTCTTATTCACAGTACTGGCTAACACTTACACATAGTTGGAAATCTATCTTCCCCCTCTACCGTTTGTAATCATAGAATGCGAATATTGTCTAAATGTTCCCCTTGCTGATTCCTACTGGTAGTTAGTTAGTAGATACCAAATGTGCAGGGTATGATCGTTGTCTATCCGAATCAGTCACTCCGAATTCAAGGGTTACCTGCGTGTGTATGCTCAACGGATAACGTTACTGGGATGTGTTCAACGGAGATTTGTCTCGGTTTTGGCCAAGGCAAATCTGCATGATCACGGAAAATAGGAATCTGGTGCGTATTCTCTGTGTCTGTGCTGGAACAGGTTGTGGTTACAGAAGTTGTACGCAAGTGTCTGTATGTTTGTTCTCGTCTGTGCTGTACATATTGTGAGTGCTGATGTCTTTGTCGATGTCCCTGAGGATGTTGTGGTGGACGCATTTGTACAGGTATCACTTGGTGATGATGATGATGACGTTGCTGGAAAGCGTAGCCTGACTGAAGTGGCGTTGTTGGAACTTGGGTGATCTCAATTTCCTTCAGTCTTGGTGATTTGGATTCAACAATGATTGGTATAATATGGCCAGCCCCGTTGTTGGTCTTGGCTGTGAGAATTTTTTCCTCTCGGTTTTTTCGGATTATATTATCCGTCTCGTTAACTTTTTTCTGGTCCCAGTAGGACTTGGATTTCCGTTTGCTAGGGCTCTTCACCCGGATAGTCGGATATTGATCTTCTCGTTCGCTCGATGAGCCACTATCTGCATTCAGTACACAACAGTTTGTTCCACTGACACCGGGGGTCTGAGACAAACAATAATTACAATTCGGTTCGTGACAGTTTTGACGTTTGTAGAGAGAGCTACAACCCCCGGTTCCTGAATATAGGGATGTTCCAGTCACAGTGTGATTGGTTTTGTTTGAATCATGTTGCTCGGTAGTCACGTGATCACCGGTCGATCCGTTCACGGTAAATGATTGAACACGAACGGGGATCTCGGTTGTGACCGATTGACGGTGACCAAAAGAGCGTAGCGGTTTTCTTCGCACAGAACTGGAGTTTGAGGTTTGTTTTGTTTCTTGCAAAGAACTGTTCATCGGTTGGGTTTCACCACCTATAAATGGTTATAGATTGAAAAGTTTAGCTTGTTCAAGTTACTACTGGTCATGGTGAATGTATTCAAATAAAAACAATCCGTCTTAAGAGAAAAAATGAGAGAATTGTTTTGACAGGATTAAGCCGATGATTTAACGACTGCTGCGGCCTATTCCACTATCTTTTCCTGCGATCGTTAGCATCCTAAGTGCCCAATTAATTATGGTGCGCAGGCTTTTTGCGTCAAGTTTTGTTCGATTGCTGGGATCATTTCATAATGGTATGCCTCAAAAATTGTGTTCCCTTTAATGCTCTCATCCCATTACTGATAGGAGCATCTGCTTGATACTGTATTGAGCCGTTCAGCAATGTAAGGCAAGATAAACATATTCCGTGGGCATGTGCTTATGCATGAAATAGACGAGGTTTTGGTTAAAAAAATAAACGTAAACAATTCAGCCTCGTATTCCCCATTCTTTAAATGTCACTTCATGTCGTTTTCTCTTCTCTGCGCTTATTTCCGCCCATCGGAACTTCGCTCTCAGATTGAACTACTTTAAAATCTGCCAAAGACGCTTGGTTCTCATCAATAACTAACAGACCAGACCAACTAAACTGGATGCTGCTCTCACGATAGCAGTATTCCATAACTAATTCGGATTGCAATCTGTTTGATGAAATCGATTTCCACGATTTATGCCCTCAGAACGTTTATTGATTTTCAGTCGAGAAAGGAAGTTAATGGACCGAATACAACGATCCTGGTGTACACCATGATGAGGTTGAATGAATTCAAACCTTTCTCGTTGAAAAATTCATCGTATGATATCTTTAACAATCGGGACTACGCGGTTTACATAAATATTTGGTGACCAGACAGATGAACATATATGAATGCATATATCAAGTATCTGTACCTTGCTTCAGAGTAAAAATTGCATATTATCAGCATAGCAAAGGTTCGACGTCTGCATAAGTTCTTCAATTGACGTGCAAAGGTGAGATGACCTCGAAATTTCATCAACATCTTAGTGTCGTTCGTGCTTGACTCATTCATATTATCACGGAGGTCCAACAAAATGTGCAATACGAGCCTGCCCAAACCAATACTTTTTCCAATGTTAACCATTGTGGATTGCACTTGATTCATGTGTACACGACAAGTGGTTCAACTAGAAGCGCATTGGCACGAAATGAACTATCCGCCCGATCGATCAGATCAGGTCACATACAGAGGCCTCTTGACAGAAGGACCTGCAGCTGCAGTTTGTGTGGAACGCATCTGAATGAGAATGTAACCTGCAATGGTAAATCAATACATGTTTTCAGGATGACGTTTTGGATGGTGGACGTCATTGTTCCGTGGATCCTTGCTCAACGAGCAGGTTTTCCCTTTACCATGTGATTAGATCTTACCCAGGTGGTGACGNCTCCAGTTTTCGCTGTTAGTCTCACCTTTGGTGATGGTCAAAATTTCCCGGGCAAATTGCTCAGCTCGGTAAACAGGAAAAATGGGAGATTGCACTCGTCAATCTTTCATACTAGGCCTTTGCTTTCAGTCAGTGTTTTTTTCACCCCACATATCGATGACTCATTGCTGATACACTCTATCGAAATGTAGCTCCAAATAGAATTCTAACCACCGACAGTTCTGAATCCAACCATTTCGAATAAGTGATTCGCTTACGAATAGTCTGACAGCTTGCACCACGTGTTTCACTATATTTACAGGTTGAAAGTGAAATGAATGGTGATCCAGGGCAGACAGATAATTGACCCGGTCCCGAAGTAACAATGGCAAGAAAACCTTTTAGAAACTATGGCCACGGTGCAACAAAAGCAGTCACTTTGCTTTGTATAACGCTTTAGAGGTAACCTATAGACAAAACCGTGATCATTTTTGTGGTGGGATTTACTCAGCACTCCTTCTGACAACCCCAATCGCAGTGTCACAAGAAACCATTGAAGAAGTTCACCCCGAAGAAATTGAGTCATGGAAGCAAATGTAACAAGACGTTCACACGGGAATTCTGAACACATGCGTTAACCTTACGAAATGCAAGTGTCTATCCCAATGTACATATATGCGTGTGTAGAACAGGAAGAAAGGTTTGAAATAGTGACTCACCATTGTTATCTGAATGTCCATTCATTCTCCGTTGAACTTCAGCGGTCCGATTGTGGTCAATAATGGTGTCTGGCATCCACAGTTCGGTCTACTGCGCGCACCCAAGAGCACGTTTTGGCCGCGAAACAAAATTATTAATTTAACTCTCCTATCAAACTGGGAGATGTGTTAGGAATGTCCACTTGGGTTCAATCTCAATCACATGCACCATCGCGTTGAATCATAATTCCGGCGAGCACACAATGTGACAACAGGGAACGTGGAGCACATGTGAGTGTTTTTCGGAAGCCGGGCTTGCGGAGCAGTTGGATGCTGAGCACAGATGACACTGTTGCACGCGTATGAACGTGCCTTCACAAGTAGTCCGGATGGATCGGATCGGATGATATGGGCAGGGGCGGGGGGCGACGGTCAAGGTTATACCGTACAGAGATGTTGCAACACACCAACAATGAAGCGGATAGACAGGCACAATGGCGTCCTGAAGCAACAGATTCTTTCTTTTTTCTCTCTCTCTCTCTCTGGGTTTTGTCGCACAGATCCACTCACACTTTACACCGGAACAGGTAAAAAGAACGCGCTCTTACACGCGCACGCGTATGCAAACACACACATACACAGATTTGTGCACACAGGCCTCAATTTGCACATGCAACAGCGTATTACAATTCGATCCCGTGGCCTGTTTGAGTGTGAATGTGCCGGGTTTCATCAGAATTAGGTATACTGGTGCGACAATACATGTGCGCTTTTGTGAGCACGCAACTGTGCGAGCGTGTGTATGTGTTCGTGCATGTGTGTAGGAAAGCGTGAAAACATTGCCGGTCAGATTTCCCGTGATCATGTAACAAGGACTTGCCTTTGATTCGTCGACAGTCCCACAATGCGCATCAGATGAAATATTCTTCTCGTCAAGGTTCAAGACCGGCACAGATATTCCCAAACTCAACAATGGATCCGAGAAGCTGGTGCCCACTTAAGGAACACTCAATTGTTTTCACGCCAATACCCTCTCCATGTTTCTTCTGTGATTTTTATTTCACTAGTTTGCTAATAGTTTCACTCTGAGCATTTGATGAGATCGCTGTTTGTATTCGTGTGTATTTGTGTGCTTGTGCGCGTGTGTGAGTCCTAATTTTCCCGAATGCAAGGTTTTCTCACGCACGCACGCAAGCACGTACGCACCAATCGCGTCAAGGTCAAATCAATAATTCGGATGTGGATGATGATCATGACCATCATAATGATGATGATGCAGATGCTGATGCTGATGGCGATCGACAACTGTGCTCGAGGTTTCTGACTCAGTTTCTATGCTCTGAGTGTCGCGATTGGCGGAGGCTCGCTCGGTATTGCTCATGTACATTCGATCATTTTCTCACTCGGTTGCTTGCTTTGGAGGCAATATAGATGATGTATGTGTGTATGGGTGTGATTATTTGTCTCTCGTGTCGTTTTCTGCTTGTTTGTGTGATCATGTGTTTACTTTCAACTTGCGCGCAACTTGCTGTTGTACGTATGTCGTTGGGTACGCAGTCGTGAATAATGATGTCTGAACAGTCTGCATATATAAACACTCGCACACACGTACATATGCACGAGGAAATAAACATGTACCTCACGAATGCATTTCCGAATACTGGATAATTGATATCGGTTATATAGATTGGCAAACGCTTTCACAGATTACGTCTTTGCTCATGCAACCGTATGCTGAAAAGTACCGCTGGTTGCATTACGGGTTGGGTGTCATGAGGGTCGATTACAAAATCACATAACTTGTTAGCCCCTTAAAATTACTTGGGTATCCACCAATGTTGTTCTGCTTATGATCATTAGTATTACCTAATTTTTCCTTAAAACAGGATTACTGGTTTCTTTAGGTAAAGCTAGATGACTGGCGTAGTTTGACTATATAGAGTGATACTTCTGTAGACGTGATAGTTTAGCCAACAGGAGGAATGAAACGGATTTTCACCATCAGAACAACAAAGATATCGACCTGAATTAAGAAGCACTCCTCTTAGTGTTCTCATTGAAAACGGACTATGGCAGCTAAAAGCAGGAAAAATTAACATTTGATTCTAGTATAAAATTATTTGGAAGATATTTTCGATCAACTCACTTCAATTCGTGTGTAAAAAGGTGATAAGGAAGTATAATACCGGAAACTTGTTTCAGTGTTCATTCGTCTCAATGAGCGCGATATTGAATGAAAAGTGAGACCAGGATTATTGTATTTTGTCGACTACAGTCGTATGTGAATGGATTAAATACTTTCCATAGTTGCTAGGATCATTCAGTAGGAAAGGGTCTTTGGATTGTTTCAATTGTCCGAATAAACCATCATCACACATTGTAAGAAGAACACCCAATCGCGAACAAGCTTGTTTGTGGTGATTTATATACAGGAGTAGCAATGGGATTTCCCTTGGGTTCACTTTTCGCAGAGGTCTTTATGGTTAAGCTCGAGAATAACATCCTCAAACGAATGATCGATCGGTGTGCATTATATGATACTTGGATGACATTTTGTGTTTCATTGATGACAGTGAATCTATCAAAGTGGAAAACTTAGTACAACCAAACACAAAGTTCACTTTAGAGAACGAAGAGAATGAGAATCGCGTTTATGGAGGTTCCACTAAGTAGTCGATCAGATGGAACTATCCAGCGCACCACCCGCTAGTCAATATATTCATTTCAAAAGGAAAATTAACCTGCTTCTAGGCCTAGCTACCAGAGCAGAGATAAAATGTCCTGATGACACCAGTTAGAGCGAAGTAAGGTTTATCCGAGAGAGTTCCCTTCACAATAGATACCCAGAAGTATGTGTGGACAACATTTTGAGGAGACACCGGTTGCCAAATAAGATCACTAACGTTGAGGAGAAACCGGTTTACATATCACTACCTTTTAGGGGAGACACAACTGCCGAGATGATGATTCGTAAACTGAGTACAGCTAGGGAAAAGTATTCCTAGCAGCAAAACTTCTCATTGTATTCATCTCCAGGCCACTCTGGCGCTTACAACTCAATGATGAATTGCTTGTTTCAGCAGGTTCTTCCTGTGAGTACCTGTTTACTTGTTCCTGTAGGACAATTTATATTGGCCGCATGAGCAGACGTTTATCTGAACGAGTCCGTGAGCACCACCCGGCCAGATTGTATAGTGATCAGGATTATCAACAGTTGAATCGTCTCACACCTTGTGGAGTCAGACAAAGCGGTTAATGTGACCGAGCTGTCTCGACCTCTCTACTTAGTTCGCAACGCACGATCTAAGGGGATTAAGAGACATATTCTGGCCATGGCGGAATTGATCGGAGCCTGCCGACATCATCNTAAGAATATGGCCAACGCCACACACGATACAGCCATACCCCACCAACCCTTAATGACCCGCAATAGTGCGTATGTGTGAAGACCAAAGTGTGAGCATCATCCCGTCATGGAGCTGGCATGTTGATTATTTTACTTCGCATTTTGTCATGTTTTCCCCCCCCCTATTATTAAACTGTGAACTTTTGACAAATTGTGGTGTATTAGGCTGTAGATGAATCCTCGCAAACGAACTTGTTCACTACTGTGTTCTTCTTACAATGGGTAATGATGGTTTATTCGGAAAATTAAATATTTTCGTAAGCCATTGCTACTGATTGCTGTGCAAGTTATTTAGTTTCGTGTTCAAGATTGGAAGGCAAAATAACCCGCAGAAATCAAACTTAGTATTAGCAATAATACTTGATTGATTTCAGTAGTATAATTTCAAATAGAAAAATTAGATTTTCGCATGGGAAGGCACGATAAGCTTTCTGTCATGGAGTGAGAAACGCGTTTGACTGTCGACGCAAAAGTACGGGCCAGTTGTCCTTCTGCTGTGCATACGAGCACATGGTGGAAAAAAGGAACTGAATTTTACCCCATTTATCGGTTAAAGAAAGTGGCGATACAAAGATCGCTGGTAAAGTTTGTAACTGGAGCAATTGTTATCGTTTTGGTGGATAAACTGCCCTAATGGAAGACAATCGCAATGATAAATGATATCAAGATGCGAAAGGATTTTTTTCTCCATCAAGCAATGATTAAACTACACAGGTGAATATCATGGGATATATCCGATCTTGTAGCTCAAATATTATGTTCACAGTAAAAAAAAGTATACAGCTTTTTGAATGACTTATTGCTGAATTTAAATATATAAAGTACCCGATCGTTTCATCGTGGCTACTCCTTTTCTTTTGTACCGCTGTCTTTTACGGAATAAATCGCGGAAGCAAATGATGAGTAATGCCGCAGTTTCCGTTCATATAAACTGGGTGCCCTAATGGAATATAGTCAACTGACGAGAGTGGGTTAGCAACGGCAAGGGTGTTTGTTCGGTTCATCCCCTTAGACGTGTTCTCTGACAACCACATGTGAGTAGTGATTTCGAATGAGCAATACTATCAATGTTCAGATCTTAAATTTCGGAAAATTCACCACGCCATATCATTCATTCATTCACTCCCTTCCATTTAACTTTCATCCTGGACTGTTGGAAATACATGTACGGTTCACATCACTGCCATGGTATATTCGGCTTTCACAAAGCACTTAACCTCGGCACGCTTGACACATATTAGGTGACTTGTAACTTATATATCCCACAACCATCGATACTTGTGCATTCATTCCTATATTGTACTTCCATCTCCCCTCGTTGATCATCGATCGACAGTATGCTGTAACTCAGTTGACACGATATACCCCGTACCCTCAAAACTGCTATCATTCGAAAACTACTCATACCCTATGATTTCAGCCCCCTGCAAACGCGAGAGTAAACATTGGATCGATATGCTGTCCAGCACGAAACATGTTGATCACCTGTCTGCACTTGTGACCTAGGCTCTCCACCCTCCGATGTAATTGATTATTAATCATTCCTCATCAGCCTTTACATCAAATTGTTTTTTTGCCACCTGTCTACCTGCCTCCAAAGTATTGTTTTAGTGATGTATTAAATGGCCCACCGAGACGAATCCCTGCATACATTATCGACAAACAACCGTACATATGGGATGAGAGACTGTGGAATAGGTCGGTTTTCCATTTAAAACGTACCACCTTTTAGGAATTTCTCTTTCTTTAGTTTGACGGTGCCTTGTAAATGGCTAGACTCGACGTTCCATTCCATTCTGTCAGGTTTTTGAACCTGGTTGTCAGCTTAGCCGTATCTCAGTACACGTAGATTAACGAAGTGGTGTTCTACAGTTGTCTGGACTTAGGGGTTCGTGTTGTACCTCAATCCGGTTCAATCGATTTGGACTAACCAGTCTTGCGAATTTCACTTGATCTACAACGACAATCATATTCACTGTGTTCCGGATTGGAACGTCACATATTTGGGGTCCCAATGGACTGCGTTTGGTAATCGTACACCGTGATTTATTTTTAGCAATGGGATGTAATCTGACGTTGTCTAGTGCCATTGATTAAACGAATTCAACAACCTGCGTCATTATTCGACTAGAAGCATTGGCTGATTTTATCACATACTCTGGAGCAATGAATAGTGGAAGGAATGAACTTTACAAACACTACGGGGCACGATTCAATCAGGTGGGATGTATCAGGTGTCCAGGAGGCATGAACCTCCTCTCAATCAAGCAAAATCCAATGAACTGAGCTTCTAAACTTTATAAACACCGGTCCACATGCAACGCCTCGCTGATATGCCGAACAGGTTAGAGCTAACCGACGGCTCACGCTGTTCCTTCTTGGGGTAATCATCTGCTTCATCCCAGACGATCTAGCAGTATCGGGAGCACGAAGAAAATCGTGGGTTGCTTTTTATTCGTGCTGAAGATTCTTGAGTCAAGGTTTGTTTGACATAGTACGGACCCGAACACATTCCATTGCGAGTCGAGCTCAGAGTATCAAATAAGTTAGCTTTCGAGCGTTCAACAAGAACAAAATGGGCTACTGGTTAAGGAAACACGGGGTTAGGAGAGTCAGAAATTCCGCTAAGAGCTCGAGAGGAACACCGATACTAACCGAGCTCCAATAAGAGCAAAACTTGAGTCTAGTGCTTCCGAGTGTATGGTTGAATCGATGAACTGAGCACTGTACGTGACAGTGAAGTCCTAAGGATAGTCAGCTCAAGTCAATAAAAACCAATTATGCCACACCACTACTCACAAATAACTGTGAGTTAAACTTGAAGTAAAGGAATTCTGTTGAGAAATTAGGTTTTCCCTATATAAGAGGTAAGAATGCTGGTACTGAAAACATGAGGGTTTTGTATATCTCTTCAGACCTTGACGGGTCTCATGGACTCCACTGAGCATCGAATCGTGAACTTCACAAGTAACATATTGTCTTTTTAGCACTGGACAAATCATTATCGCTCCATTGTGTCTGTAGACGACGGAACAACCCACCTTTACAGCTTGAAGGGATCGAATATTTTCAAACGACTCGTAATTCTGTAGACTAGTGCGCAAATGGATGAAGTGCGATGCGCGAAACAAACTCCATCATTCATCGTCATCCAGCCTTTTACTGATGTCCTAGGTAGATGGGGTTCTGAAAAAGCGGTTGAAGTGCCATTGAGAGGTGGGGGTTGCTTTGATGAATTTGCCTCGTCTTTACAGTGCATTATCTAACCTCTCACAATGGTATTCCATTGATGGTACAGACAAGGCAAAATAATTCACAGAATTCTACCTACTAGTCTATATCTGTGATTCTCATTCTCACCGCTCGTTATTTTATTTTCATAAACTTTACTCACACGATTGCAATTGGCACATTCTGCACCAATCATCACCACGTTGATAATGATGGGCTTTCTGTGACAAAGGGAAGGTTATAACAAATTTCCTAATCCTATAGTCCTTATCCTTTTTACTAAATATAAATAATGATACAAAACATTTTCAACTTCTGTGAAGGAATCGATTGATGACATCATCATTCTAGAAACAGAAATGTGACTTTACCAGTGCAGGACATACCGCAAAACCCGTGTTTAATAGCTATCGTCGACGGCCCGGAAATTTATGTTCGGTATTCGAATGTCATCGAAAGGTGCACTTTGAGTGGGCGTCTTTGGTGTGAAACCACTGGGTTAATACCGTTTGGATCGATAAATAATAATGATATTCGAAGATAATGTTTAGTTCCTGTTCTTGCCCTGGCTTCAATCACTTATTCAATATTGTCGGATAGTTCGATTGCGTCGATGAAACCCAGTCCGTTCATCCTATCCGGCCAGTGATCTCCACACACACAGCGTAACCTGCCATCTGGCAGTTTTGAGACATTCATTCCACTTGTGTCCCTCGATCTCCACACTCCTATATCTCCATTTATAAAAAATTGGCAACCAAACTTTCAATCCACTCATTTTAGTTTGTATCCTAAACTGGGAGAAACGTGTGCCTCTTTTAAGGATAATGCGAAAGCAAAGCATGTTCAGAGCAGATGTCAGAACATGCTTCGTTATTGTGGACTGTCGCTTGTTACAGATAGTCGACTACTACCATGGTGACTGCCGCCTACCGGTTTCGTTATTTAAACTTGGCATGTGTAGATTTTGGTTGATTCTGGTTGATATCGATATCCGATTTCCACATACCTATTCTCTGATAAATAACTTGCTACGATTTGCAAGCATTCTGTACCGGAACTATGCGGACGCCGAATATGTGTTTCCACTCTCGTTTGAATGGAGTTCAACTGGTATACATAGATCGCGCATACAATTGAAGATTCACGGAGTACCGTTCGCGAAAATTAAGTCGTGTGAATGTAACTCATTGAACTTCGGGATGGTGCTCATATTTCCGGGTGTCTAGGTGGTTGTGACTGATGGTGGAGACTAACAGGGTATGAAGACCAAAAGGGTTCAGTAACAAACGGATCGATTAGAAATCAGCACTAGAAAATGATGGATTTACTGAATATCCTACATATTTCCGTAGAATTGTGTACCGTTTTATGCATGATCCAGAGATCTTTTCAAGCGGGTGACGAGTTTGTTCTTGAAAGCAAAAAATAACACATGCTTATCACGGCAATGCGCATCATAAAGGAGTGAAATAATTGCTTGCCAAAGACCACTATTCCACCCTTGATCATCCAATCACTATTGATGTGCAATTCTCATTTGTGAGCTGCGTATACATTGAAGCTTTCCTGCGTGATTCTACTGATCAAACACTCTATCATTATCGCCTCGGAAAAATGCGGAGGATAGTCTTTTTAACCTTTTCCGCTGGAAATCATCAAACAAAATTGAACTAAGAACGATGTTCCGGCTCGTTTCACTATGTCTATCAAGTTGTACAACACTTCGTTGGCAAATATAAAAAGTGACATTCTGCAAGTTTCTGAATAATCCGAAATACCTTTCTTTTTTACAAACTATGACTTTTCGAGGTAAATGAAAAAAGGGATAAAACAAACTATTCTAGAATCAAGAATTTGATTCAACCAAACGCATAATTCAAAGCATCAAATAAGTTAAATTCTAGAGAAGAGAAGATTGATGCGTTTCTTACCGCCTTATAACCACTGACGTAGTCCAAATGATACACTAAGGCATGAACACGATTGTCAAACGCTAAAAAAACAAACTCACCGTCATAGAATTAGAAGCTGTTTTCTTTTTGGTAATTGAAATCTATAGATGTATTTCAAACACAAAAGTGAAATTCCCGCTACCAAAGATGTATGTATGTATGTATGTATGTATGTATGTATGTATGTAGGTAGGTAGGTAGGTAGGTAGGTAGGTAGCTAGGTAGGTAGGTAGGCAGGTAGATAGGTGGGTAGGTATGTGTATGTATAATACGCAATAATTCAGAACAGACCAAAGTTGCAGCGCAAAAGGCAAGCGTATAACATTCACCCCGTAAACTCAGTTCTGTCACAACCGATATTAGAAGTTTATGTCACATTGATCAGTGCTTTTGCTCAATTCTCGGAAGGTGCTTCTTTCCATCACTCATTTAACTCGGTCCACTCAGTTCGTTTACTTTGCAAGTCAGCGTTTCATATTCACTGCTATCTGATACTTGTGATCATCTACCCTTTTTATCATTTCCGGTTTCGGCTTCTGTTCAGCTCCTCAAAAATGCTGCTTTGACCGAAAGTCATATTGCCGTGGTGAATAAATAATTGGATTGAGTATATCGAAACAATATCCAAACATCTTTTCCTAAATAAATGGTGATGTAATTCGGCAACGCTGACTGCTGCTGACTGCTGTCCAAACAGAATCAATGACAAAGCGGCAAGCGGCAATTTCAGGGGCATACATTTCAGAGGAAGGACTGATAGTTCCAGGTCAGATGATTGTCTTTTCCAAACCACATAAGATAACCCGTCATAACTCACCGAAACCATGTCATTTGGTAATTTGCACTCCACCCAAATTGGAGTGGAGATGAAGACAAACAGATTAAATAAACTATGCATCAAGTTAAATTGGCTCTCACATAAATGTCTACCTTTGGTTTTGCCGTGTATTGTGATCAATCTACAGAAACATTAATTGAACTATTGTTACGCCACTGACAACTGAGACATAATTACCGTAATTGAAGAATAGAATATAATGCTGAGGAATAGTTGTCCCACAACAGTGACACCGTGTGTTCAAATGACAAACAGACGGAAAACATTTTCACATTCACCAGAAATCGTTATCCATCTTTTTCAGTTGAAATAATGACCCGTAACGTATTGCCATACACGATGGATCGGTTACTTCAATCAATATCTTGTCGAATGTCTGTTTTATTTGACAGTTATCTTGTCTGAGGTATACGTCGTAAGCACGGGAAGTACTTAGTTTAAACGGATCAGATAACACTTGTGAACACAGAGTTCAGATTGTATTTAAACCTAATATGAGTAACTTTTAATTTCTATGTTGGAACTTTACCCATTCCATTCTAGAACTGAGCAGATTTGCTCACATTTGGTGCTATGTCAGACTTTATTACGTCCAGTTCTCAGGTGCCGCATCGATTCTCATCTGAGGAGTGGGTGTGTAATCAGTAATGGTTTGTGCTCTTGGGTAGCATCATATATAATGGCTGATTGTCATTTAAAAATTCTGCCCAAATAAACAATACAGTAATTGAGAAGGTTCAATGATCATTTAATCTAGTCGACTATACACTCGGGAAGCCCTCGATTCGGATTTCACAGCCGTTAAACCTCGGAAGCAACGCATAGCTATCGGATCGAACTAGTTTTCAACTGTGGACCCACCTAACCTAAGAAATTTATGTTACCCCAATGACCGGCAGCTCTATGAAATGAACTGAAGTGCAGAAAATCAATTTCCTTTTGCACAAAATAAAATGTAAACAGTTATTTGTTTAAACTATAATGGAAGTGCGGATAAAAGCACTCAGGTTTCTAACACTCAATTTAATTTACCCTAACTGTAAATTAGTTTTTTACTAACCAGTTGATCAATATTTCGTTCTAACACACTTCAGATCATATGAGAATAAAACGAAACGTTCGACGGGATTCAAGACCACTGCTGTTTACTCGTTCATGTGAAGCACCCAGTCGGACAGTAAAACGGCAGCTCAGAATAAGCATATCCTTTTCACTATCTTTGTTTGTAAGTTTGTCAGAATGTTTTTATGTCAGTATTTTTTCGCTGGTTTTCATCGCACATGCCTGTTGTAATCATCGTGGTAGCCCAGCTTTTTTTTTATTTATTTCGTAAAGCAGACAAGAAATGTAACAACAGAAGCATTGAGCTGTTTTCTTAATCAAATGTATCAGATTTTGACATTTCCCCTCGTGTGTGTGTGTGTGCATGCATGCATATGCATTATTATGCGATCCCAGGTTGCAGACAATTACATAGTGCTGCATTATGACTGGAATATCTGTGGGATCTTTATGGAAAACATTGTGTTTGCACAGATAAACATTGTGGGAGACTCGGGGGCACACTGTCAGCCAGGCGAAATACGCCAATTGTGGGAAACATCTGTAGCTCCCTCTCTCTCTCTCTGTCTATCACAGAAAGACAACAAGATCGAAATAAACAATAATTTTCAAAATTTCTAAACTTATCTATATAAGTAATGAAAGTGGAAACAAGTTACACTGCTGGTCACAATGAGAGTTAAGTGACATCTCTGACTTAGGCAAATTGCCACATTTCTCGCTGGAACTGCATTTCGATGGTAGCCGCCTTACTTGCACATGTATACATGCAGACACACGGGAAAACAATTGCCACTCTGTACTTGACCCCTTCATCATCTGAATTTCAAGTCTCGTGAAGAGTAAGTTTAGAAATTCCGAATACAATTGCCGGCTACCGGCTAATTGTGTCACAATCTATTCGGACTCTACCCGGTTACTTGAAACCAGTAATCATTGTTGTTAGCATTCCACGTGCACCGATAAATTCTGCAGATATCATTGCAAAGCTGAGTTGGAAATGACCATTTCTCAGTCACTTTTCAACGGACAAAATACCTCGGCGTTTTGTATGAAAAAGTGTGACAATAAAACAAGCTTAAGGATAGGCATGGAATGAAGCTAGCTGGTAGTGTGATCACTCAGACCACGTTTTTGAAGACTGTAAACCAAAACCGACCACCATACGGTATTGAATACACCTTGTCTACACATTCATGCTTGTGTGTGTGTGCACCCATTCAAACCTTAACGCCAACAACTGAAGTACTGCAAGCGACCCTCTGTGGTATCATCAAAATGTCAAAACGAAGAAATGGAATAGAATGAGTAGCTGAGTACAGACGACAACCGTGATGAAATGACATGGGAGTGCCAACAATCAAGTCGATCGGGAAACAGCTATGTGATAGGTCAACATGCACGGAATTTTTTGTATATCATGTGAATTGTAAAAAGAAACATCAGGCGATGTTATTTTCTAGTACGTAGGGAGAACAACTACATGCTCAACAAGGGAACTACGGACGTCTTGTACTCAAAACTTCAATGAATCATACTTCGCTGTTGGTTATTATAAATAAGACGAATGAGGTTCATAATCACAGAATATACGAAATCGACCACTCGACTGAACATCACCGTTCAATGTTTCCCTCATTTAAAACCAAAAATAGCAATCCAGACGTAATGAGAATGCCACCGCTTTATGGACAGAACAATGAATATTAAGAATCCAAAGGACCTAANAACGAACCAAAAATTTCAAAAATCTTATCGTTGTTATCGAGTAGAAGTACGACTTACAGGTGGTAGGATCCTGACGAGGATGAGGCCGTTGGAATGTTGAACTGAAAGTAAGTCAACACGAGTTGCGGTTAGTGCATTTCGATTAAGATTGCTGGTGTGTGTGTGTGTGTGTGGGTCTCTTCCTGCTTACTGCTTAATGTCTGTGTGTATGTTGGCTTGCATGTGTGTGTGTGCGTGTGTGCACTCGCGCACCTTCGTCTGTGGCACTATTTGCGAGTGTGTGTGTGTGCGTGTGCGCTGGTTTATACACTTCTTTATGTAGTATATATTCGCTTTATGTTGTGCGTACGCGTTCAGTATAGTACGAATGACAAGCCACTGATTAGGAGGATACACACGACACTATATCACCTGCTCAATCGGTATGTGCTATTGCCTATCCGGTTCGCACACACAGATGTCAGTCAGCGCACCAATTTTTGATTGTTGAACTTGACGATGACCAAGCTCTGTTGGAGCAGGCCGGAGCAAGTCTCGCTAGTACTACTGCTACTACTAGTAGACCTGATGTTGTTATTGTTCGAGTACTGGTTGCAAATGAACGTGATTGTGATCGTGATCGTGGTCGTGACAACTGACAAGATGACAAGATTCATCACCTGACCTAGTCTGAAATCGTTACCCGGTTTAGCCAATACTTGGTCTGGGTGCACACTCAATACGTTTCTGATCGACTGTGAAAAGGGTAACCAATGGCGGATTTTGGAATCACAAAAAGAATGAAAAAGGTTGTAATGCCTGGTTTCGTGAAATAGGTATCTCGCATAGCCGGTACAGTATGTCATTTTTACTTTCCCCTTTCCTAAAAACTAATAAATTTAAATAGGAAATTTTGCACCAGGAACAACTGGTTAGAAGCAAAACGACAATGAAGAGCGATCGCTTAAAAAATAGACGATATTTTAGATTAAATCAAGCCAATCGGAGGTCGTATTGTACTGGAATAGTTACAGTGATGAAACTACTTACCTGGACCTGTGACCATGTTGTTGTTGTTGTTGTTGTTGCTGACTGTAATAGGAAGAAGCAGAAGTTGATAGAAATTGTTGCTGTTGTTGAGTTTGTTGGTGTATGGGGCCGGGTGAACGGGATGGCGGTAAACGAGACGGGGACAACCGACTGGTCAGTTCTTCGTGACGCGTTGCATTTCGCCTCTCGTCGACCAAACTAATGGCACGACGCAGTTGAGCCAGTTCTTGTCGCGCTGAATTCAGTTCCGATTCCAGTAGCTGCTCGCGTCGGGTTGGACCTTGACCGTTCACAAGTGATGACGAACCCTGTGTTGCCTAGGGTGAACGTGACAAAATACCTCATTTGTTTTATTCATGTGATAATGTACTACTTGAGTAGTATGACTTTGAAAATGATAAAGACCGTGTGGACATTGTACCAGAAAACAATCTTTGGGTTGTATAGATGGTCCAGTAATTCATTTCCGATATAATAGCAGAAATAGGTCAAAATTAACTGATCATTGGATTCATAATTAAACCACTATCTGTTTGATTTTCTGCAATATAATTCAATTCTCTTGGACGTGAACACACGATTTTTTTCTAAATCGATCTTGGGGGAGATTTTTATATGATCCTTAAAATCATCCGATATTATTGTCATAAAACCAAAACACTGGTAATCTACAATAGAATCGTGTTATAATAACGCTTAGTCAACCAGCATCCGAAATTTTTAGTATCATTTTGCGCTTTACGTGGATTATCGTATGTCATAGTCAGAAGTGAGAAAACACCCGACATTCGTTACACATTTCTCCTTAAATTGCTGTAAGGCATTTCCTTCGAAATGAATCAGTTTTGATTCTCAGTTGTGTTATTTTAGTTCTTTCCGTGGAAAGCATTGTGGTTCATCGAGTATGTTTGTTTAAGTTAATTTTTTTATTCTTGTTTTGCTAAACTGCATTCTCTCTATCTTCTCTATTTAGCGATGGTCTATTCATGATTCATGGCCGATATTTGTGAAACTGGCTAGAGCTTACGAAGCAGATCAAGAAATGACGGATGTTCTCGTTATACCGCTTCACCCTGAACGAAAATAGAATGCAATTTACTTATTTTCTGTTTCAAATTGATCGATTGATCGAAACTGATAACTGATGCTAGCCATCTTCAGACCCCTGTATCATCAACTCAACTCACTTCCGCCGTTCCACATTCCGGATCGATTGTCAGATGAATTTGGCTAAGCTGGCGTGGACCCATCGGTGGTCTTTGTTTAAGTGTGGTGGTATAAATCGAATGATGTCTTTGCGAGGGGACCGGGGAGTAGGGGGTGCGANATAAGTAGATTGTTTCAAATAATTATAACCGGTTGGCTGTGAATGGATTGTGGCTCCGGAGTAGGAAAAGGGTTCACGATCCGAATGTCCGTAAGAACCGATCGCGGATGCCGAACGTGTGGTATGAAAACGCGATTCACTATGCTGGTGTTGCTGTTGTTGAAGATAGCTGGATTGCTGAATGGGTGGAGTGGCACGGCTGGGATAACCGGATGTAGTGTATGGCTTCGAAGAAGAATAGAAATGTGATGAGGTGGACTGAGATCCAATTGGAGGAAGACCTGAGGCCATGTTCATACTGGTCAGGCGCAATTCCTCCAATAGTCGGTCTAACTCCTGAGTCCCAGCCATGAAGTTTAGTCGACGAGCGGCCTCAAGAAGATCTTCCGTGTGATGAAAAACGGGGACAGAGGCTGTGGGTCATGAAGAAAGAAAATCAATTTCTTTTTGTCATGCAAGGTACGTGGACATCAGTGCGCAAATTGCGAAATTCGTGCAAATGTGTTGATTGCGCAATTGAAACGGCTGGTAATTTATTGGTAAAATCTGTCGAATTTGATAAAATGCATCACAACACAAAAATACTTGAGCAAGTAAACCCCAGAAATTAATTTACACTTCTATTATATTCTCTCTGCTAGTTAAGAGGAGTTCTATAAACAAGGGAGAGAATTTTTCCAAAATGCTTTGGGACGAAGGAATTTGTCGGAAATCAGAGCGTGTGAAGCATGAGCACGACGATGTATGAATTTATCACGCAAAGGGCCTGTGATGTTTAGTGAAATCCCAACAAAAAAATCCGTTTAATTTTATCCAAGGGGTATTCAATCAGCATTACACGAAATAGGTTCACTGTTGACAACTACTCAGGTTCTTGGCGTAACATGTCTTCCCACAGTGTAGATCTTAGTCACGAGAATTCATTTCACCTCGTGGTTTACTGCAACGAGTTGAGTGTGATATCAAGAACAACAGTCTATAACCACCATAAACTTCGGAGCTCATTTTTAAGCCTTCAGACGAATCCGGTATCATTTAATGATGGGTAAAACCATAAAACGGGTTATTCCGTAGGGAGTGATACAATGTCATTCGTATGCTTGATGAGTTTGGAAATCCAAATCACTGACTTGTGGTTCCATCGAGTCAATCCCACGACAACAACCGTAGCAGCAACAACAGACGACATTTTTTTTCAGTTTCTTGGACNCATTCTACTACAGGTAATTCGCTTAAATAATTAATTATGCCATATTGCAAAGCTCTGTAAAATTGCCCAATATTTCTTATCGCGATTTTGTTCACCACCAACACCACCACCACCAACAAAATAACCATCACCGCTACCATCACCACACAAACAGTAATACACAAATGTTTTGTTCCATAGCAAATAGTGACACGAAGTTGTCTTCCAAAACTTGATTTCTAAATGCATTCATCCTCCAGAGTCTTCTTTTCAGTTTTTGTTTTACGTCCATTTATTAGATAGGCAATTATGCCATTTTCAGAACGAAAGAGGCGGTCAATCAAACAATTGGACACAGAAAAATGGGAGAGGTCAGGCGGTGGTAGAGGTGGGATTCGACCACTTGTCTGCCGGAGAGATAATTTGCTGACCTTTACAGCCTGACCCTCACCAGGAGCACTAATTGGGGAGAAGTGGACGTGAAATGAAAACTATATCGGACGACATTTTCCCAATGAAATTTTGGTTAGATTCGTGGGTTAACTGATATTTCTTTCATCATAAAATTTACTTTACCATGTTGCGAATAACCTTGGTTTCCCTAAGAATGTACAGACCCCGGAAGAAATAATGACAGTACAGATCGTTCTGTTTTAACCACCGCTTTCTCTACCCGGTACACGAGGAAATTCGTCAAACAATCACACCAATTAGCACTTTGACCGGATAATCAGGTTCAGAATATTTCGGAAAATCACGTAATCCAAGGGAAACGAACTAGTCAAAATAGGTTGTTTACAGACTAAATGGAAACTGATTTGATTTGCCTCTCCACCCCCCCCCTCGACTCTGGCTTCGATCGCCAAGTAAGCTGTGTGTTTGCCTTCTCCTTGTACTGAGGTTCCGGGTTCAATCTTGTGTTAGGCATCGGAATTCACTGTGTTGCTGAGATGCAACAATATTGAAACAAGTGTGCCGGCCTTTGGTGTTTATCATTTCACACTTCATTTTCTCCAAACATTGCGAAGTAAATCATATACCAATGACGGATTGGATCACAACACTTGTCGATAACGGATTATTTAACGAAAGACTACCACTCAAATGTGCGAACTGTATACGTTGATACAGTGAATTCAGGAAAACAATCAAGGTAAAAAAATTTGGTACTGAGCATTTTGTAGCTAGTCCATATTTGATTGAATCGAATTTGAAAAAGCTTAAAGCGGTGAGGGTCGGAAATACTCCGTAAATTGTTTGGGTATTATTAATAAAAGACACGTATCCAGTGGAACACATCCAGATAACCTTGTGGTAAATCTAGTCACGGGAACCTGTTCTGATTGACGTCTATCACCAGCCGGAGGCAATAATAATAGAACCAATACAGATGATGTTTGTGGAACTGAATTGTACTCGTACGCATCTAGTACAGTATAACTCACGCATTTTCAGATAACTACTGTTCGCTTTAGCCCCTGTTTCACGGACTCTTGTTATTTCACGATACACAACAGATTGTTGCTTTTGCCCAAGGATTGGACCCACAAAACGCGCTTGTTTATCAATTTGACTTCTTCAAAACAATAACCGCAATGGTTTCCCTTTTTCTATTGTGCAACGACTGCTTTCGATTAACTATGATGATGAGAATTGAATGCTTATTTTTTCGTAGACGACATCGAGCAAAAAGAAGTGTGCATAGAGCTACTTCACGTTAGAAACTCTAGAATGTATTACAGATAAATGAATCAAACGGGCACATCGAGCTGAATTCATAAGACAACGCATTCGGAAACCGTCAGCGTTTTAGGCGCGGATGGTGACGACGGAATCAGTTACATGGTTTGGATATTAGGCGGACCTGATCAAGCCTACTCAAGCAAGCTGATAACCTGATCGATCTTGTGCAGCATAGATTCATTTGTGCAGTTCCTAGTTTGGTTATCCTAGTCGATAGTGAGCCCAAGATATGATAAGCTTTATCCAGTGCGAGGAAATTAAATTGAGAGAGTAATTAACTTGAACAAACCATGCATTAAGTTTGAGAGTCTATGTCTTCAGTTATAATATATATTTACAGGTAATAACGGCTTTGACTTAGAATAAAATATCTGCTGTGTCAGTCGGTGTGAATTACCTAAAATCCTAAACTTGAAATTGAGATTGGAATTGTATAAATTATTTCTGAAGTTTGATGAAGTTTGCATTCCTCCGGTGATCAGGAATTTAAAAGCTCCCTTTGTTAGACCTGCATATCTGGGAATGTCTTGAGGACCACCTTGTAGTGCGCATCTTGTTTCGACCCGCATTGCGCGTGAATACGAGTCAACTGGTTAGTTCCGATTAACGACTCACTCCCCATATGTGATGACCTTATGGGGACCACCTTGTGTTTTGGATCTCGTGATTTCTGAAAAATTACTTCATTCTCAAACACTACAACATAGTGTGTGATAAGTGTAAAATCAGAAAAAAACATTGCTCAACTGCACAAAGTGAAATAGTGATCATGACGGCTTGCTTTTACAGTCGTGTTTGCCCACACATGTTCGGACAAAGCAGCAATGATACTTTTCAAATATCAAAATGTTCCTTTGAGTGTCAATTCTGTATGATTAGAGAATGAGGTCAAAGGGAGTGTGAATATGATATGCTTGAATTGTTTTTTGCTCACAAAACTATGTTCCAATTTTATAGTGTGAAAAATACTGAATATTATGAAACCATATACTCCGTAGCCTGGTCAACAAAGATTGCCGGGTGCAGATTGTCCTCACTTCTCTGTTAACGACAAAATGTGCTGTCTCGCACATATTACACGAATTCCTTGATCTATAAGAGTAATGAAGAATTGAATTTGATTAGATGATGAATTCGTTGTGTAAATGAGGTGTGAGCTGTGAAACTAGGAAGCAATGGACAGCTGTTTCGATCAGATTGAGCTTAATCAGCAGTGCTAATCCATCAGTCCATATATATATATATATATACGGGTAGCTAATCAACGAGCCGCGCATCTGAAGGTTAAATTTTTGAGGTCAATTGCCACGTTTCTTGGGCTATATTTTCACCTCCGTGATGATGAGAGATTACACGTAAGCATTTTGTAGCCATAATGTTTTATTAAGGATTATCTTTGATCACATTGTACCGAATGAACAATTAAATGTCATTTAGACTACTTGTATTGACCAAGAAAAAACGAAACCTCCAAGGTGCTCTGCATCGAATATTTTTTTCATTCTGAGCTGTAGGGTTCGAACTACTAAAACTTTTATCGTGCCACTGAATTCCCCACTGATTTAGGTAGTGATCCAAGATAATTAAGCTCATTGCAGAAAGATAAAGTTTGGAACGAATACTCTTCGCCCGTAGTTATCGAAACACGAGTTTAATATTGCAAAGTGAAAAATATTACCGAACCAAGGGCCACATTACACGATTTCGACCAGCAGCTGCAGAGCATTCACTGGAGTAGAAATGAATCCTGAGTGCAAGGAGATTAAGGAACTGTATAAAATTGTACGAAGCCAAAACTGAGAAATACATTGAGTCATCACTAACCCATAATCACGTACCTACTAGATAGAAGCATTGAGACAGTCCACAACGACTCAAACCTAGAAGCAAATGAGCATCTTGCTTTCATTACATTCAAAAATCTGATTATCCTGTACTTAGGTTGTGTGACATTTAGGAGGAAGTCATTGACGAATATAGTTCCACATTTTTGGTTTGAATTGAACTTTTGCATTGCATGCGCTTCTCATATCATCATTACGAGTAGGCATTTCCTCTAACCAAAATATTACGTACTAGTTTCAAATCCCACAGAGTTGTCTGTCTGCTGGCACAAAGAAAACTCTTCATCAAATACATTGGTCAAAAAGATCACACTACTGATTTACCGTTCCGCGATATGTTCTACGTACCCCTAACAAACGCACATCTAAGGCCTTTTGGAATCGAGTGCTTTCTGGGGCCTTCAAATTCGGCCGTGCTGTTGCTTTCCGTTTGATCATTGTCACATAGTCACTGACATTCCCGTTGTTTCTATACATCAATTAATTTTGTGG